AATAATATTAATAATAATAATAATAATAATAATATTAATAATAATAATAATAATAATATTAATAATAATACTATATATATACATATGCATATATATATATATATATATATATAAATGAATTTTTTCTAATGACTTAGTAACAATGAAATTCACTAAATTTGTCCAAAATACAATGGGATTTAAACTAAAAAACAAATAAACACTTACATCAGTATGCGATAATAAAAAATAGTGCCAGTGTAGAGTATCATCAGAATACGGCAGCTTGTTAAATAAAATAAACAATTTATTTTTAGCTAAACCTAGAGCGATTGAATAATTGTGTGAATGATACGTTCCACTGAGTTATAAAATGCTGTTATTTTTAATGCGAATATGATTAATGTTACTTAGACTGCTTTTTTTTTTTTTTTTGATAAAGTTTTTGTTAAATTCCTTTCTTTTTGTTTGTTTGTTTCTATTTACGTTTTAAACAAATAGATTCAGTTCAATTCAATATTCTGATATCTATGACGGATGTTTCTATATTTTTGTTTGTTGTTTAATTTGCTTTTTTTTCTTTTTTCTTTTTCTTAAATATCTGCAATGGTTTCTCCTTCATTTGAACAATCTGTGCTTTCATCACCTATTATACTCTCGAACAATGGAACTTTTGCAAAAGCACAGAGCTTTTTTTTTCCTTGGTTGGTGATAATGCCTAATTAGGTCTTTATTGCATCATACTACCCTTTTGTGGCTGTTCTCGTTGTTGTACTTGAGCTGATGCTGCAGTATCTTTAATGTGTTTTTCGACCTAAAAACATATAACATGAGATTTTTTTTTAACTTGTGTTTAATAGATTTCTAATATTACATTAATCAAATAATCTTTTATCAATTATACTTACAACTTTTTTAACATGTTTATATGCACTAGAATCTTCGTTTCCATGCACATTGTCAACTTTATATGGCGGTCTAATGATAACATTATCAAATACAACAATGTTAGCACCGTTCCACGTTACATCTTGTATAGTTTTAGAAATAGCGATAAAAAGTTTCTGTCCGTCTGGAGATACTCCGGCCTGCAGAGCCATCACCAGCCTTTTTTTTTCTTCTATCTGATTGCGTACTCGTCTATTAAGCATTTGTAAATTAAGGCTTTGCGGTGGTTCGCTGGTCGTTGGACTAACTTCTCTTTTAACTTGGACATCTGATACCAAAGATAAATTGACTATGTGTACATCATTCAGGGAAGTTCTACCATTCGAGGCTGGGCATTCTTTAATGTTTCTTGTTAAGAAAATATTATTGAAATAAAAATGTATTTGTAAAGTATTATCTTGCACAAATAAACATGTATCTTTAAATATATATATATATATGTATATACAAGAATATAGTACTATAGTAATATAATTATAGTGGAAAAAATAGAAAGTATAGAAATACAAATATCAATGTGTGAATAATATTTGAAATAAAATCCTTACAGAGGAACAAAAAATAAATAATATTAATAATCACTTTGAACGCGAATATCAAATAAGAGCGTTAACAGTTTGTATATAATTTCGAATTAGAATAATCGAAAATGATGAAATAGATTAAATAAATGAATGGAGAAATCAGCATGGTTGAAGATGACGAAACTAACCTGACTTTTTTTTGATAATGTCTAGAGATATACGATAAAGGATGACAAGTTTGACAAACTATTCAAATAATGATTATTTCTTAACAGATTAATTAGAGATGACTCGATAATTATTAATATAAATACATCTCGAGTTATTTACACTATTGTCTGATAGTATTGAGAGAGTAGACCAAGAGACGACACTCAGTTGATATTCGATTAATTAATAGAATATAAAAATGATTTTTTTAAAGGATACTCAAGACTAGCATTTTTGTTTGTGGGTCAAATGCCAAAACCTCCCCTTCGATATCCTTATTATAACAAGTTTTACATGCAACCGTACTTCCAATGCTGAAACAATCGCTAACGCCGGCCATTTTTCACTATAGAACAGACCGCGAGCACGACATCGCCATCTGTTGTAAAAACATTCCTATTTGAAAATTCCCGCTCTTTTATTTGACTTTAGCGATACGATCTTTTTCCTACTTAATGAATATTTTATTTTATATTCTTTTCAAACACGATTAACAATAACATAATATTTATTACAAAATATTATCATTATTTATATATTTTTTTAATTGTTTAAAAAATTTTTTTAATCTTTTCATTAATATCTTAATTTGACACCAGTAGTTTCCGATCGCTTCTATTTCCTTTATTCATTCCAAATTGTTCTTTCGTTCGTTATATTACAATTTTATTACAAGTTTTATTGTTATATTATTGTGTTGTTGTTATTGTTGTTGTTGTTGTTGTTGTTGTTGAAAGACAATAATGAAGATAACTATGAATTCGTCAATAAAGACAACGTATAATGAAAGGTAATCGAAGGATTTGATCTAATTACAAATTTATTTTCATTAGACAAACCAATAGAATTTCGTCAAATTGATTTATGCATTAACATTAATTAAGTTTAATTATTATATTTGTTTAATTATTTTTCAGAATGATAATCATGAAATTTTTCTATTGATATACAATTTGATTAGATTATATGTATTTATTTTTCATTGTGTACAAATTGTAAATTTAATTTTAATCATTGCAGATATATATATATATATATATATGAACATAATCTCTCTGTCGGTAAAAAAGGATTTAGTTCGAACATTTGTATATTAACATGAAACAAGATGGCGTTGTTATATCGTTTTATCATGTGATACGTATTATTCATCGAACGACATTTAATTTGAAACAGAGATGTAAGTTAACGTAAAAATATATTTGTATAGATCTCCACGGGAATCATGCTTATGAAAATATTTATGATAAAGTTTCAGATAGAAGAAAGATCACAGACTTTCAAATACTATGGATGAAGTTTTCTTACGTTGTTATTAAAGTGAGTCGTAACAAAATATCTTCCTGTTGTTTACGATAGTCGTAAATAAAGTTAGTTAAAACATTAATTTGTCATGTTTAAACAGGAGCCAAATATAAACTCGTCAGAATTTGAAAAGGATTTTTCTCATAGGCGTGATGGTCTTTCATAATTACCATGAAAATTACACCTACAACAGTTTGAGGTTTTCCCCTTCAGTTTTCAAGGTATTTCATAAGTTAGTAGTAACCTTAATTGACGTTAAAATTATCGTATAATTCCTCGTATACTCAATTTGCTATTATTTAGATATTTACTTGTTGCTTCTACATCGAATTAAATTATCGTTCGTGTTCTTCCTGTAATAAGTTTAAATTCATTTATTAAAAAAACAAGTTATACAACTTTTTTGTTCACATGATTTTTATTTTGAATGAATTTGTTTCGGTAGATTTGATTAAAAAAAAAGATATATATATATAATTCATTTCAACGAAATTATTAATTATCTTAAATACTTGCAATTATTTCATTTTAATTTACGTTCGATTAGTTTAAACATTATTTATAAGTTGTCTCTATAAATATAGTTTTATAAAGTTCGAATATATATATATAAATAAGTTAAGTATACGTGTAAGTAACTTCGTAAATTTGCTCGATTTGCTTGTCTTTTACCTAGTATAACATACATAAAGGTTTTGTTTGTTAATAAATAAGGTTTATGTGGATTAAATTGTCAGGATAACAGACGTTTCGGGTAGCTTATTTTAATTAAAGGGAAAAAGAAGCTTCCTATTAAATCTAATAGTATGTCACGAGCTATTGTAAGAGGGTCATGTTAACATGATAAAGAAATTGAAAAATGTTGGTTTTTTTCTTTTTTTTTTTTTCATAAAATACGATACACGTTTTACTTCTTCTTCTTCTTCTTCTTTTTTTTTTTCTTTCTCTCTTTTTCATGATTTATATGAAAATCGAAGATATTATTATTCGATACATATTTTTTATATAAATAGAAAATTTTTTGAAGGATTATCAATAGACGTAGGAAAATAAACAAAAATATTATTATTATTATTATTATTATTATTATTATTATTATTATTATTATTATTATTATTATTAATTGGCATTAGGAACTGGAAAGTTCATTGTCGCAAATACCAAATTCCGCCATTGTTCCCATCCCTGAGCGCGATTCTTCCATTCGCGGTCTTCAGCAAAAAAAATATTATTATTATTATTATTATTTGTTTAATAAAATTGAAAAATAACAATAAATAATATATATATTAAATGATAAAAATATAAATTATTCGATTAAACTATGATTGTAGTTATTATTTAGTGTAAAAGATATGTCGGTGATTTTCGGCTTTTTCCGGACGCAGTCGAGCATATTCGACTTGGCGGCTTCTTATTCGGTCGCATGGCTCGATTCAGTTTCAGTTTATAGATACCGTCTCATCGGGACACGTCGCGGTGGTCCATAGTTGAGGACATGAATTAGGACTTTCAAAAAAAAAAAAAAAGAAAACAAAATAGAAGTGTGTACAAAAGTTGTCGTTGAAAAGAAAGAAAGGAAATTAACATTGGTGGTGAACAGTGTGAATTTTGAATTCGTATTTTTTTTTTTTTACTTTTCTTTTGCATTTTTTCACTTTCCTCTTTTATTATATTTTTTTCTATTTAATTCGTCGATGGATTTTACAAAATCTTTTTCTAATAGAGAAGTAGAATAAATAATAATAATAATAATAATAATTTATTTATAGATGTAATATTAGACAAATGTATATAAGAATTTAATTTGATTAGAAATTTGGATAAAAGGGGTTGATAGTGAAATATTTGATAAATATGAGAATAGTAATAAGATAAATTTGATTTTTTTTTCTTTTTTTTTTTTTAGTTATCGATCATTTGTCAAATATAATTTTATTGGAAGAAAAAACCAACGTCTTGCAACAAGAGTACAAAAGGGTGGGTTGAAAAGTTTTGATCCTCGACAAAAAAAGAAAACAAAAACAAATGAACTTGTATTCTAATTTTTTTTTTACTCTATTCTTAATTTTAATTAATTTACATATATTTTTTAAAAAAATAATATTTATTTGAAATAATTTTTATTATTATACGTTAAGATGAAAACTTGTCAACTTTGTATAAATTAATTGGAAAGAAGTAAAAATCAAATATTCACGAATTTTTTATTTTTTAGAAAAAAAAAAAAAACAGGAACACGAATAGAAAAAGGAAGTATATATCGTAGATTTTGTCAAGCGAAAGGAAAAAAAGAAAAAAAACCAATGGGTATAACAAAGGGATACTACGTCTAAATGTACATCGTGCTATTCCATTCGTAAACGAGAATTAAAAAGAGAATTTTCCTCTCAATCGCACAGGAGAACATTAAAAAAAAAAAAAAAAACAGGAGAACAAGAGGATGTGTGAATGAATGAATGAGATTCGTTTTATTTATAATTGCGTGTGTTTAATTTTTTCCTTTTTTTTTTTATGTTGGAAGATATAACTGAAAAGAAATCTCCGAGTCTCGTTATAATATGTTTTACGTGGAACATACGTACAAAACGTACAAAATATGAACACAAATTTACGAATGTATTATGAATAGATCTCTGAAAGGGTTCAGGGAGGTGGGGGGTGGGGTGGGGTTATGGTGGATAGGATGTGAAAATAAAAAATTGAATTTTTTTATTTTATTCAAGTTCATTTCATTGAGTATTGTAATATTGAGTTAGGACGATAATAAAACATAAATTATACAATAACAAAAGGATGATGATGATGATAATAATAAAAGAAGATTTTGTTGAATAATAATAAACGGGATTGTTGTTTGAAATTAATCTAAAAAATTGAAATGAAAAAAGAAAATTACAAACGTAACGTTATATAATATTGTTTGTTTGTTTGTTTTATTTCTTTTAAAATAGGAATAAAATATAAGTATAAGAAAATAATTTAGATTTAAGTGTTCTTAGATAATGTAACATTATTCATCATGTTTATGTTTATAGACGACATAATTTAGAAAAAAAATGTTCAAAATATTTTTATTCTTTTTATTTTTATTGAATACACTAGCGTAGGAAAAGTTAAACTACATTGATTTTTAAATTGGAATGGTAGGTTACTGTTTAAACACTCGTTGGAGGTACGGTCTAATGAAAATTAAAGTTGTCTAATCATTGGTACTCAGTTTCTAATCAAATTGTAATTTTTTATTGAATACATTAGCGTAACAAAAGTTAAATTACACTAATTTTTAAATTTGAATGATAGATTACTGTTTAAGTAATTAAGTCATCTTACGATTTTTACAAAGAAATTTTAAAATATATTTTTACTAAAGTTTCCTAAAACGTCTCTTCGTATTCATTTCATTTCTATAGAAAGGAACATAATAATTCAATAAAATAATTTGTTAAAGTAATTTTTGTATAATATCAATATTTATACTTGTTATGGGATATAACAAAAAAAATTATAATAATATTTAAAAAGAAAACATTTAAAAATATTTCCAAATATTTCATTTCGATAAAAACAACATTGGGAGACCGATACCTTTAACAAAAAAAAAAAAAAATAAATTCTATACATCCGTTGAATATTTAAAAATAAATTTCTTTTCAGATTTGAATAAAAAAATTTGAAGATAAAAATTTACCCTCTTTCAAAAATAAAAAAAAATAATTTTTCTATTTCGATAACAACGATCAAACGCGTATGGGGAAAATACTTCGAACAAAAATCTTCGAACAAAAATCTTTGAACAAAAAAAAAAAAAAAAAAAGTATCCGAGTAGCCGAAATATATTTTGTTTAGAAGCAAAGCTTGAAGAGAATTTAGTTTAAGTTTATCGAGTGCAATACCGATTGTTCAATTCGTCGAACAAAGGGACACGAAACGATGCTCGAAATTAATCGCGCGAACGCAGCTAACCCCCTCTCTCCTGGTTTGTGTTCTATTGATCGGAAATATGTATCATCTATCCTATCGTTTCTACAGCTATTTCACCAAAGACCTAGAGACTACTAACTTAGATACACCTATGATCGATTAAGGTTGTCTCTGTCGATTACTTTGTTACCTTCAAATGAATCAGTTATTATTATTATTACGTTCACACTATCAACTTCATTTCATACGTACCTAATTGCTACACACATACATATATATATTATTATTATTATGCATTTTGTCCATACACAACCGTTTGATAATAAAAATAAGGTTCATTTAATTCGTACCTCATATAAAAAAAAAAAAAAAAACAAAAATATTTATGTATGTCATTTTAATTTATGAACAATCACAAAATTATTTCTACCTATTAATTTAATTTAATTTATTATTAAATAAAATATATATATGTATGTATAATTTAACTAATAATACAATATAAATAATTAATTTTTATTTATTTATTTTTTTTTTTTTTTAAATAAGTTTGAAATATATTTGTACAATTTTATATACAACTAGAATGCTCCGGTCACGCGTTGCTGTAACTTTGTTATAAAATGTTAATTTAATATAATTCTAAACAATTGAATAAATAATAACGACACATAAAATAATACCACAATTAAAATAGAATATATAAAATAATAATATACGAAACAAATATGAACAGTAAGGTTAGATTTGTCATATGTAATATTTGAAAAAAAAAAAATCATATAACGTTAATCTATCGAAATAATTGAATTATAATACAGCACCATCTATTGAATGCTTAGAGAAGAAGTTAGGTACTTAGATAATCTCTAAATAATAAATCATTAAATTAGTAATAAAAAATACAAAATAATCGCGATAAAAACTATCCTATATTCTAAGTTGGAAAAAATTATATAAAATAAAAACAAATTTCATTAAAATCGATTGAGTAGTTTTAATCTTATTAATGGACAAACAACTTGACACGTAATTTTTATATATACAGTAAGATTAATGAATCTTTTGTTCGTAATTCGCGTGATAGAGAAATTTTTCAATGTTGTTTAATATACAATTATTTATACAAATACAATGATTATTTTTTGAAATTCAATTACATTTGTAACTTATTAATGTAACATTTGATTGAACTAATATAGCAGTAAATTTATACATTTATCAAAATATACAATTTTGATAATAAATTTCGTTGAAAAGATCTGTAGTTTTCCAATTGGATCATGATAGCTTCCGG